AAAAGCTGTCATAAGTAATTACAACGTAAAATTCAACAACAATAAAAAAGTAATTTGTTCTACATAATTGAAAGTTTGAATTAAAACTATAATCCTTCTATGATGCAATAAATTATATACTTTTTTGATTTTGATTTATTATAATAATAATCTAAATCTTATTAGAGATAAACAGCTTATAAAGTTTTCGGCAAATAAGATTTTTTTTTTAATACGACCGACGACCGACCGATATTGACCGATGACATAGGCTTCGAAGTGGAGAGGCATAATCGTCAGTTTAAAATATCTATATATAGTTTATTCCACTATATCTAAAATTTTCTGAATAAAAAAAATGTCTTTTAAGAAAAATAAATAAAGGGAGGGGGCACGTTCCTCGCCATGGCTCCCTCAGCGTTGTCGGCCCTGACAATTAAAACTTGATGTTAAAATATCATCGTCCATAAATTACGCAACGCTAAATTTATTTAAAAAACAGAAGTAGGAGATCTTAAGCTCAATTTTCATTATAATTAAGTGCTATTTTGATTATGTATTTAACTTAAAGCTCTGCGAGGGAAAACCTTTGATCTTTTTTGTTTTGTTTATGAGTGAAATTTAGCGTTGCATAATTTATGGACGATCCCTAAAATGCATAGATATGTAACTGAAAAAAATTTTGATTATGTATTTAACTTAAAGCTCTGCGAGGGAAAACCTTTGATCTTTTTTGTTTTGTTTATGAGTGAAATTTAGCGTTGCATAATTTATGGACGATCCCTAAAATGCATAGATATGTAACTGAAAAAAATAAACGCTTATTATTATAAAAAAATTAAAAAAAGATATTATCGAATCAAAAGATAAACTGGTTCTAATAGTAGAATTAATATACACTCCAACATAAAATGTATTTTTTTTTTTTAATCGGACATGAACATGAACCGAATGGACTTAACGTGCTTTTAATTAAAAACACAAAACAATTTTGCATTTAAAACGAGCTTTGTATATATTCCTTAGAATACTTTTAAATCTTAGATTATTTAACTTTAATTTTAAAGTTAGGCCGATCTAAACTCTTATATAGTTTTCTTGATTCAAATATTGATATCACATTTATTCTCATTATCATCAAAATTTTCATTAGCAATGGTGGGGTTATTAAAAAGATCTTCTTTGTACCAGTTGAAACAGCTGCCTATTGCTAAAAACAGATTGCAATAACTTATTTTCCTTTTTTTTTCTATTTTTTTAAGGTAGTGATCTGCTTTGTTAGTTTTGATATGGTTCATTGCCTTCATAAATAAATCAAACTGTGATCTTGCTTTAACTTTGAACTTACATGAACATTTACCTTTAACCTTGCTGACTTTGAAGAAAATCCTCTTTGCTTTTGTTATGCAAATTCTTCTAGAATTATTTTTATATTTTTAGTCTTTAAGTTCCCAGTTTTGTTCTAATGTATAACGTTGTTAGAGAAGAAAGATAAAAAAGCTATATCTGCTGAAAAAAAAAAACGAATGTCCGTAAGTTAGAAAAGGTAGGGGAAAGCGGGGCAACATGGCGAACGTTTTGAAAGCCCTAAGTTATTTAAAAACTATAAGTCGTGAAGCCATAATACTTTTTCAGTATGTTTATGCTATTAAGTTCTTTCATTGCCTGCATGAATTTTCAGTTTTCAAATATAACAATTTGAAATTAATATTAAAATAAAAAGTTCATAAATTTGTCATCTGGTCACGTGACCGGGGCAAGATGACTTATTATGCAGTTTTTACCTCTAATTTTATAAAATTTTAAAAACTGCTAATAACTCTAATTAAAGTAACAAAAAATAAACACAAATTGCAAAAAACTACTTCTAAAGAAGATAAACTTGAAGGACACCAACCATTATGAGAAACCGAAAGTGAGGAACTTTTTTTTAAGCGCAAAAAGTAAACTTATTTGTATAAAATGGCGTTAATAATATTTCAAAAAACCAATTGGTGTTTTAAAATAAAAGATGCAAATACAGTTTCGTTTTCACCCAATTTTAAAATTTTTTGTTGAGTTGTTATATGAAAACCCATCTTGCCCCATTTGCCATGTTGCCCCGCTTTCCCCTATATGAATTACTTTAAGGAATGTTCTTTAAGTTTGCATAAAGTACATAATTTTTTCTTAATTTTTATTTAGGTGCTCCAAGAAGTCCATCCGGTCTTATCACTTAGCACCGCGGGTGAGCATTTAATTGGAAGTTCGCGCCTCCTTCTTAACCGTTTTTGCAAAATTTGCCCAGAGGTGGGGTTTGAACCACGGATCCTTTTATGAGGTAAGTGCGTTACCACTGCTTCACGACAGCTCATTATCATGTACAATAATATTACTTTTATATCGAGAGATGAATCAATCAATTGGCAGTCTCAAGTTTCTGTTTGATTGGAAGTTATTATTCAGAAGAAAATATTACAAAGCTGATAATATTTCTGTACTTCCCGTTTTGTGTCTCAGGCTAGCAGCAAATTTTTAGCTCCAATTCTTTTAAATCAACTATACAAAAGTTGTAAAATACTATATCGTTAATAGCGTGCTTCCTGCAAGGGCGTTTTTGACAGATTTTAGGTTTGGTGTGAAATTTGGAAGTGGTTCATTTATTCAAAATATGTTTTGTCAAATGACAAAATAGTGTCCGCTCATCTGTGATTAGTTTATTTGACAAAATATTTTGTGGCGTTGACAGCATTTGGCGGCAAACATTTTGTGGCGTGACAGAAAACATTTTGTTAATAAACGCTTTTGACATGGAAAAAATGTTTTATCAACTTTTTTTTCTTCTAAAAAATATGCATACCATGGAGAAAAGAACAAAAAAGTTCTTAAAAAATTTTTATAAATTTTTTCATGACAAATCACGTTTTGGTTAGTAACTCGTCATATATAAAAACATTAAAAACAATAACTTTTACTTTTAAAAAAAGCTTAGACATTCTCTGTATACCTATTAACTCATTAATAAGCACTTGTCAGTGAAGCGATAGATAAAATTTAAACACAACAGTTAAAATTAGATTAGCTAAGATTAACTAAAAAAGCTAATTTAAGGACAGCTAATTTAAAGTCAGCTAATTTAAGGACAGCTAACTTAAAGCATTAAACGAACTCAACCAAGACTTTTTTTAAGGAAGTATTTAAGTACTTATTTTTAAATTAAGATTCTCAATTTTTCTGTTGTTAAATATATAATCCTTACGACAGTAAAGTGTTAATTAAAAAGTATTAATGACTTTAATAATGCAATTAAATTTTCTTTAAATAATAAAATACACTATTATATACTGTTTGCTAAATCGTCTAAAGCCAATAATGATTTTAAATTTCTTGGTCCACCATTTAGCCATTCAATCAGCTAGTGTTTAAGGGCGAAACACTACTGAAAATAAGTTTTTTGAAATGAAACAGTTGTTCAATATTTTGGTATTTTGTTTCTATAATCATTCCTGCTGTATCTCAAAAAATGTTAATCTCAAGGTGTTTGTTTCTAACAACGTCTTAGCAACCACTAAAAATTCTTTTAAGAATTAAAAACAGTTAAACATCATTACAAACTTGATTTTAATTTGTTAATAATCTTTTATGTTTGTCGTTTGAAAAACTTTACTTAAAAACTTAAATTTGAGAACAGTGTTTTTAGTTTGTATTTCTGTTTCTCATTTTGTATTTTTTTTTTCTTATTTTGTAACAAAACATTTTAAATGTGATTTTAATTTAGAATAATATATATGTTTTAAACAAATAACCGAAGAAATTAAAGTGAACTAAATTTTTCAAAAAAAAATAAAACGAAAATAGAATTATACTGTTGCAAATAAAAAACCTTGTAGCATCATGACACCATGTCTTTTTTGAAATATTGAAAAAAACTTTCTCACCATCTTTATTTATTTTTTAATCTTTATTAAAATTTTCAGGACAATAATAATTACTACTTTTGACCTTTAAAATTTTAATGAAAAACTATATAAAGTAATTTTGTTAAAAATGAAATATTAAAAAAAAAATTTGAAACGCAAAACCCCGCTGTTAAGAAGAGTGAAATATGTTTTCGAAACTATGTTCGAAAGTTTAGTTTGAGTAATTGAGGCTAAGACGTGTTATTAGGTTTTGAAAATATGCTATTAACACAGGTTTAACAACTTAACTTAAACCAATATGAATAAAATAAAACATAAAAATAAACATTTTTTGATGATTTTTATTTTATTTCAATATAAATTTCTTCTCGTGACTTTTAAGCGCAATGAAAATTTTAATATTTAGTAAAACAAATTTTTTAAAAGTATCAAATTTTATTTTTTAATCTATTTTTAAAAGAAAAATTTCTGTACTTTTAAAAATTATATAGTTTTATACATTATTTTACTTTTTTTTTCTCAATAAATTTGCATTAGTCAAAGTTTTTACCTTAACAACACCATTAGCAACCATAATTTTAACATTGTAATAGAACATTATCGTTCAAAATTTAAAATAAAAATGTTTTGCATCAAACTAAAAACCTATTATTTAGCCAAACCGTAAAAAAAAGAATTAAATGTGTTGTAGTTTAACATTAAAAAAATGAGAACTTTTATTTAAAAACTTTGGCATATAAAATTCGCCGAATGGTCACACACGAGCAGTGAACACCTGAGGAAAGAAATGAAGTACATTAGAATAAAGAAGAATTATTTATTAGACAAAGCATATTTTGACAGTTTTCAAGACAGATTAATAGAGGAATATTTAAAAATAAATAAGACAGGTTATACACTCACAACAATAATAACAACAAAAATAAATAAATAAATAAAAAAAAAAATTGTTTTACACCAATATGAACGAAGATATACATCACCAGACAAAAACTTATAAAACATATACATCACCAGACAAAAAATTATAGAAACCGATCACAAAATAAAAAATGTACTAACAACAATGAAAGGCATTTAATAATGGAAAAAAAACATTAATGCTAATGTGTAAACATAATT